ACTAAGAAAATAAATAAATGAATGAATAGATATAATATTAAATCATATATAATTAACAGTCAGCAATGTGACAAGAAGAAGGTGCCAGAAATAGGGTGCATGAGCTGATTCCCAACAACCTCAAGCAATGCAACAGAGCTTGCAGCTTTTAACACCTTATCATTTTGCAAAAATATGAAGCGCACAAGAGAAAAACAGGAGTTTCTCTAGCCGGCTGTTATTAAAAAATAATAATAAAGAAAGAAAGCCGTTGCAGTCTGAGCCAGATGAACCAATTTAGCCTACAAATTACACTATGAAAGGAGCAGGCAAACTCCATTATTCGTGAGAGAAAAAAAAGAGAGTTCAGTTTATTGCATTACCGAACGATGCTCCACCCAGCAGTCCTCCCAAGCTGTAGATGTCGGAGCGAGCTGCGTTCCGTACACCTCCGCTACCAAGATGCAGCTCCGAGAAGTTGGGAATAGTGCTGCTCGTATTTTTTACATCATTATCAACATTAATGGCGGTAGAGATTCCGGTGAGGTCGGTATTAATTCCTTCATCAAAGCCTTGGTTATAAAGAAATCCCTTAAAAACATGGCCTCCAATATTCACCTTCGCATGATAAGCATATTCATCTTCTCCGTCATCGATGGATGTAACTCTTACGCACTTGAACACCGCCGGCGCCCGCACCTGCCCAGGTAAGTTCTCCCGGAAGCTCGGATCTGAAAATTATATCAACCCATCACAATTGAAATAGAGATAGACGAAAAAAAGAAAGAACGAAAATTTAGTTAGAGATAAAGAGGTAGTCACCCTGGTGGCTTGAGCCGGTTTCGAAGCTAAGAGGGAGAGTGCCGGAGTTGGATTCGTGGGTGGTGGTGGTTGTCTGAAAAGATAGAAGACGGGGCTTCTTTAGAGCTGAGATGATACCGGAGGAAGAAACCGCAACTGCGGCTGCGGAATCGGAAGCGGTGAGATGTCGCTCGCGGCGGCGGGCAGCTGGGACCCATGTGCTTTTAATGTGTGTCGAACAATCGTATCCGCGGTTTTTGCAGCACGTGCGGCATCGACGGTGGCTGCAATCCTTCTTGGCCTGGTTCCCGCAGTCTTGGCAAGTGGAAGATCCCCCAGTAACGAAGAGGATGTCGGGGGATTCCAGTTCCGGTGAGGGACTAGGGTTAGGGTTTTGGGGCAGCGCAGGGGCTTGAAGGGAAGGGAGCGGGTGGGATTGCCAGAGATGGATCATGGAGGAGCGGGAATCGTCATCAGCGAGGTAGGGTGAAGCGGTTAGAAGAGGGATGATCGAGTGGGCTTCGGCGCTAGGGAGGAACTGTTCGTGGTACGCCGCCGGTGGGTGGAAGGATGCGGCGGGTGCTACTACGTACACGTCGCGAAGACTGCTACTACGTCCCCGTCGCGAAGACCAACCATCTCCGCTATGCCGTAATTGAGTGTTTGTCGACCTGCAGCCGACGATCTCGTGGCCCATAATCCCGCTCCTCCGGCGCCTCCTCCGGCATTGAAACCAAGACAGATATCTTCCACACTCACGGAGGCGAAGGATGACGCCCACTCTCCGTTTTCCAATGGGAATCGCTTTTCAGGAGCCACCACGCCGGTTCACCCCCGCTTTATATACTATCTCTTGTGTGAAATCATTCGAAAAAAAAAAGTTGGTGGTTTTGTTTGATTTTTAGCGGAGATCTGGTAGGAGGGTGGAAAAAGTGAATGGTGAGAGATCGCTAAGGAAAAATGGAAATTCTGGGCTGATGGAGTGGGTGGCTCGATCGTCTTCTATTCATATTTCCTCTCTCTAGGGCTCCCTCGCTCAGAATT